TGCCGGAGCTGTCTTATCTCACCATCAAAGCCCCGCCAAATATTTAGCAATGAGCACTGCCTCGCTCTGGTGTCACGTTTCCTGCCCCCTTGTGCTGCTCTGTACAGCGCGGGTTTGGGATGCCAGGTGAGGGAGCAGACTTTCCTGTTTCCTGCTTTTGTCTCCATCTCTCACAAGCAAAATGTATTTGCCTACTTCTGGAGTGTGTTTATTCCGAAACCTCTTACTGGGCATCCGTTGCAGCAAAGCACTGTACAGTGCTGGGAATGGATGGGTGTGTGCGTGTGTGTGTGTGTGTGTGTGTGTATTGAGGGAGATATCTCCTTTGAGGAGGGGATGGAGATATATATATATATCTATATATATATATATATATATATATATATATATATATATATATATATATATATATATATATATATTTTGCCCTTAGTGAGCACTCACAGTAGGAGGGACTCCAAAAAGGAAAAAACATGTGTGACAAATCCATGCTAGGAGTAGCAGCGGTGTCCCAAAGGCATGGATGGCAGTGGCCATACAGGGAGATGGCCAGGAATTAGGACAACTGAGATTTGAAGAATAAACTAGATGGGGGTAGAGCATTCCAGAAAGATGGGACAGCACATACGAAGATAAACAGGCCAGAGAGAAATTGTGTCCTGAGACAGGAAGGGCAAAAGAAAAGTGATGACGGGGGAGCAGGCAGGCAGGGCACCCAGGTGTGGAGATAATGCCGGCTGCGACCTGGAAGCCAGGACCCAACAGGAGTCAAGCAGTGATGAAGCCGGACGTAAGGCACTGACTGGTAGCAGAGATGCCATGACGATGGGAGGAAAGGGGCACATTTAAAAGGCAGGTATTCTTGGGCACCAAGTGGATATGACATGGGTAATACAGAGGGAAAAGAATGTCTGCCCTGAAAACTCAGGGACCGCTTCCAGGGTTCTGGCAGAGGTGCCTGGATGGATCGGGAGACCGTATGCAAGGACGGGGAACCTGGACAAGGCAGAGGGGAAATAGGGAGAGTTCGATTTTTTGCTTGCTGAATTTGAGGTGCCCATGGAACGTCTAAATGGAAACACTGAATAAGCTCTTCAAAGAGCTGCACAGAAATAGAAAGTAATGCCCTCGGGATATGTATTTCATGCAGCTCACTTTTAGTTTGTTATTACAAACATATACATCCAACTTTTTACATGTTCAATCCTGCAGATTTATAAAAACCTTTTATTTATTTATTTATTTTTTAAGATTTCATTCATTTATCCTCAGAGAGAAGGGGAGGGAGAAAAAAAGAAAGGGAGAGAAACATCAATGTGTGGATGCTTCTCGTGTGCCCCACACTGGGGACCTGGCCTGCAACTCAGGCGTGTGCCCTGACTGGGAATCAACTGGTGACCCTCTGCTTCACAGTCTGGCACTCAATCCACTGAGCCACACCAGCCAGGGCTAAAAATCTTTTATTTCTCGTTCCTGTCCTTCGATTCTTGTGGTACAACAACCATCCCAGTGGATTGATTGACAAAAACAAGAAATGTCACCATAAATTATGGGACATAGAACCCTAGAGATGATCTGGCCCAGTTTTCTTATTCTGGAACTGGAAACAGGTTTGAGTGGTTAGAAGAGAGGGGCAGCGTGCACGGCAGTAAAACAAGGCTTAGAATTAAGGTCCCCAGTTCCCAATCTTTCTCTACGTCACAGTGTTTCTGCTGCTTTGGAATATCTTGTCAAAAGGTTTGGTGGGAAGAAATTGAAATTGTAGATGCTTTTCTTTTTCACGAGGAGGTAGTTAAGTATAGTGGAGTCATACAGTACTTGGAAAATCTAGCCTTGGTTTCTTCATCTGTAAGTGTGATGATAATCCTTGCATCACTGGTGAGGCACCAGCAGGTTATGAAAGTGACCATTGTAAGGACTAGATATTTCTTAACCTGAACCCAAGGTCTGGATATAGATCAGAAAAATGAATTCAAGCTCTTCTAGTCTATACACTTACTAATCATATGTATTGGTTTTCCTTGGTTGCTGTAACAAATTTACCTCAACAAAGAACAAAAAAAATATGTATTTTCTCAGACTTCTGGAGTCCAGGATCCTGAACCAAGGGGCCAGCAGCGTCACGGTCCCCCTGAAGTCTCCAGGGGAGAACCCTTCCTTGCCTATCCCAGCTTTTGGGGGCTCCAGGCGTTCCTTGGCTCACGGCTGCCTCTGTTTCCACCTGACCTTCTGCTCTGTGTTTGCGTGTTCTCTTCTGTCTCTCATTAGGGCACCTGTCATTGCATTTAGAGCCCACCCAAGTCATCCAGAACAATCTCATCTCAAGACCCTTCACTCAATTACATGGCAAAAAACTCTTTCCAACTAAGGTCACATTCACATGGTCTTAGTATTAGGGCATAGACATATCTTTTTTTTGTAGTGAGAAATATATATATATATTTTAAGTTACTTTATTGTTGTTCTATTACAGTTATCTGCATTTTCTCCCCACCACTCCCCCCACCCCAGCCAAACCCACCTCCCTCCCTTGCTTCCACCCTCCCCCTTGGTTTTGTCCATGTGTCCTTTATAGTAGTTCCCGAAAACCCTTCTCCCCTCTGTCCCCTCCCCCTTCCCCTCTGGCTATTGTTAGATTGTTCTTAATTTCAATGTCTCTGGTTGTATTTTGTTTGCTTTTTTCTTTTGTTGATTATGTTGCAGTTAAATGTGAGATCATATGGTACCTAACCCACTCTACCACACAAGCTTGGGCGAGTCACTAAATGTGAGTGGCCGAGGGGATTTCAGTACCCACCTTTACCCTCCTCAAGTCTCTCCTGAGAATTAGAAGGAGTTATGCACATAAAAGAAATTTGTAAAGAGTTGTGCGAATGTTGGTTATTCCTACTGACTTGGCCAGTAGTTTATACAGAGATTTTAATAAGAGATTGGTCTGTTCTCCCTATTCCAACTTTTTCTCCTTTCAGTTTAAAAATAGTTTTGCTGAAGCACAAGAACTTCAGACCAAATTTCTTCAAAGGGGAGGAGAAACATTTCACAGTGTGGTTACTAAAGATGAGCAGTGTTCAAGGATAAACCATTGTCAGTTGTGTGATGCTCAGGCTTCAAATACCAGAAAATGCTTTGAATGTTTTTCTAGAGCAAGGCAAGAAATAAAGAAATAAATTTTGTAGGTCAAACTTACAGAGAAAGCTGTTTCCTCCAAACTCTTTATTATAAATAGAAACTTGAAAGAATTATATGATGATTGCTCATATTCTTACATTTATATTTTAAAATTGTTGCCATCAGGCACATTGGCTTTATCTCTGTAAATATATGGAATATTCTAAACCATTTAAAAATGGGTTGAAGACAGTATGGAATTTCACCCCTGTTCACTTCACACAGCATTGCTAAAAACTTTCTTCTCCATAACCAAAATATCATGATCACATTAGAAAAATTAACAATAATTCTATAAAATAATCTAATATTCTTAATTCTCTCAGTATTCTAATTTTCTCATTGAACTTCCAAATGTCTTTTCTGGCTGTGTTATTTTGAAAAAATTTTAAATACATTTATTGGTCTTAGAGGGAGAAGAAGGGAGGGGGGACATTGATTTGTTGCCTCCCATATATTCCCCGACCGGGGACTGAGGCTGCAACCTAGGTATGTGCCCTGACCGAGAATCAAACCTCCCACCTTTTGGTGTACGGGGAAGATGCTCTAACCAACTGAACCACACTGGCTAGGGCCTGGCTGTATTTTTTTTAAACCAGCATCCAAACAAGGTCTGTGCAATGCATTTGGTGGTTTTAGCCCTTTAGACTGTTAATATAGAACAGTCCCATCCCCTTTTTCTTTCTCTTGACGCCAATGTTTTTGAAGAGACCAGTCATCTGGTTTGAGTGGAGTGCTGGAGCCCATAGACAAATGGAATTCTATTTCTCATCAGCCCTGAAAATAGCTGTGGGTGTGGACGCTGAGGGTCTGCCTGTTGCTGCCCCAGCCTTCCTATGTCAGTGTAGCAGGAGAGCATGTCTGCTCACTTTACAAATGCACCAGAAGGCTCCAGACTCAGAGAGGGCTATGTGCTTGCCTCTAGAGAGGGGCATGGGTAGGTTAGAGGGACCACCACCACCTCTTGTGATAGACCATTTGTTCTTCTTTGCTTCTCTCATGATCACCCTCAGGATATGTTGGAACTGGGGGCTGAGCAAGAAACATATCATGTTCGGTGTGAGGATCCTCAAGTGTCTACATCTTTGCAGTTTTCAGAGGAGAACATCCATGAACTGTAAGCCTTGACACATGCAAGAGGGAACATGTAATAATGTTTTGTGGAGGGAAAATGAAATGTAGCCGAGAACTTAGGGAAAGCCCAGAAGACTTAAAATCCACACGTGAATGGAACCATGAAGCACTCATGTGCACAAGTAACTTCCTACAAGTACCAGCAAGAATGCACAGTTAGGACATTCCTAAGCATATAGGCAGAACCATATCATTCCCAGATAATTGTCTAGATATGGTAAGTATTATAATTATCATTAAAAATATTGTTAGGCTCTTGTAGACCCTTTCCCTATCGTATTCCTCTCCATCCCCCTAAAATGCCACCAGTAACCTGAAATCAATACTTAACATTCACTCTGTGCAGGGAAATGAAAAATATATTTATTTTTTACTAAATGTAAAATGAGCTTTATTCTCTCTAGCCTTGCAAAGGTCTGTTAAAATGGATATCAAATAAATTCCCAAACTTCTTTCTTGAGGCCTAACTGCCTATCTGTCCTATTCTGGTGACAGGAAATGAATAAGCAAACCAATTTGCCATTCAAAGGAATAGGGCTTGGGGCCATGTGAGATGTTTCCCATTTCTACCTTAAAACTGATCATACTGATATTTCTGCAGGAGTCAGGAGAACGTGTTTTTCCAGCTAAACCACTGGAACACACAGATGGGTCTACAAGTGAAAGAGCTCGGAGCTGATCACTTGGGCTGGATGAAGAAAATTAACAATATTATACAAAAAATAACCCTCTCAGAAAACACAGTGAAGAGGTAATGTAGAGTGTTGGGGTTGGTCAGAAAATAATTGCAGTTTTTATAGCCTCACAAACTTTAGAACTCTGGGTTTAAGGTGGTAGAGTCTTTAGGAAAGTCTTTAGGTCAACAAGTATGAAGTCTTATGATTAGAAGTTAGCGTCACACCTGTCAGAATGGCCACCATCAATAAATCAATAAACAAGTGCTGGTGAGGATGTGGAGAAAGGAAACCCTCCTCGTGCACTGTTGGTGGAAGTGCAGACTGGGGCAGCCATGGTGGAAAGCAATATGGAGATACCTCAAAAAATTAAAAATTGAACTGCCTTATCACCCAATGATTTTACTTCCAGGAACAGATCCAAAGAAACCCAAAACACTGATTTGAGAGAACATATGTACCTCTGTGTTCATTGTAGTGTTATTTACAACAGCCAAGATTTGGAAGCAGCCCAAGTGCCCATCAGTAGATGAGCTGATAAAAAAGCTGTGGTACATACACACAATAGAATATTACTTGGCCATGAGAGAAAAAAAAAGAAAACCTTACCCTTTGTGACAGAATGAATGGATCTGGAAAATACTATGGAAATAAGCCAGTCAGAGAAAAACAAGTACCATATTTCACTTACATGTGGAATCTAACGAACAAAATAAACTAACAAACAAAATAGAAACAGACTCAGATACACAGAACAGACTGACAGCTGTCAGAGTCGAAGTGTGGTGTGCAGTGGAAAAGGTAAAGGGAATTAAGCAAAAAAAAAAAACTCATAGACACAGACAACAGTATGGTGATTAGCAGAGGGAAAGGAGGATGAGGGGGGAAGTAGGAGAGGGAGAGGGGTATCAAGGGTGATGGAAGGAGACTTGGCTCTGGGTGGTGAGCACACAATACAATGTACAGATGATGTATTATAGAATTGTACACCTTAAACCTATGTAATTTTATTAACCAATGTTGCCTCAATAAATTCAGTTACAAACAATAAACATAAAAATTAAAATGTATTGCTTTCTCTAAAATAAAAGGAAAAGAAAAGAATATCACAAAATCTCAAAGCTTACATCAAAGTTATCAGCATCTTGGCTCTCTCTTAAGGGAATGATTTCCCTTATAGGTTCTTTCTTTCATGCCATTTTAATAGATATCAAAGGGAGGTGGTCTTCAGGTGCCCAATGACCCTTGAGTTTTATCCAGTATTATTTAAAAGGATCTGACCAGTTTAACATGAAAGAAAATAAAAGTATATTTGTTTAATGTATATCTGAATTTAAATGCAACATTTTAAGATGAAGTAAAAAAATAAAAAATAAAATTGTTTATCTCATCACTGTATGAAGAGAAAGGGCTCTGGAGTCAGAGGGACCCAAGTTTGAACCCTGACACCAACATTTCTTGGCTAAATTAACCAACCTTTTCTAAATCTTGACTTTTATCCTCTGTATAAAAGGCACTGATGACAGCCACCTCACTGGTGTTTTGTTTTGTGTGAATTAAATACTCTACTGTAGATAAATAATTTAACACAATGTCTGGTATAAAATAAACAATAAATGCAAGCTCTTCCTAGAAATAAATACTTCTAGCCTTGTGAACCGTCCTGCCACATTCCAAGCTCTTCCCCACTGCAGGACGACTCTCCTCCCAGGAGTTTTCTCACCTTTCTGTTCAGTATCTCCACCTGCAGTGAAGGAAGCATCACCATGCCTTTCAGTTAACTGTCTCTTCCCAGCAGTTTCTCCTGGCCATCCTATCAAAAATAAATCTTTTTTTTTCTTCCAAAGCATACACATTTGCTTTTTAGAGGAGTCTGTGGTTTTCATTCAAATGCTATGCATTAAATTGTCTTCCCATTTTAAAAAATCAAAGCATAGCTTACATACAGTAAAATTGTTTTTTATTGTATGGTTCTGCAAGTTTTGAAAAATGCCTCTAGTTGAACAGCCACCTCAGTGAAGACAAAGAACGCTTGCGTCACTCACCAAATCCCTCCTGCCCTTTTGCAGTTCACCACTCTCCCCAGGCCAAGCTGCTGGTGACCACCGATCTGCTCTCTGTCCCTACAGCTTTGCCTTCTCTAGTCTGTCACATAAATGGAATCATGCAGTGTGTAACCTTTTGAGTCTACCTTCTTTCACATAGCCTAATACATTTGCAATTCACCCATGTTGTCACATATATCAGTAGTTTGTTCCTTTCAGTTGCTGGATAGTATTTCCATTATATAAATATACAACAGTTTATCCATTCACTAGTTGCAGCACATTTAGGTTTTTTGGCAATTATGAATAGAGACACTATAAAAAGGTCACAGTTTTTGATTATTTGAATTTTCTTTTTTGTTTTCTTTTCTTTCGTTCATTTTTCTTTTTCTTTTCTTGCCTTCCATGTAGATTTTAGAATCAGCTTGTCAACTCTGCTGTGATTTTTATTAGAACTACCATTAATCTATAGATAAATTTTGGAATAATCAATATTTTAGCAATATTGACTCCTCTAATTCATGAATAGAGTATAATATATCTGTTTACATCTTTGATTCCTTCTATCAGTGTTGTATAGTGTCCAGTGTACAAATATTTTAGATTTTGTTAGATTCATGCTTTTATGCTTCATGTTTTTCGTACTGTTATAAATGATACTTAAAAATTTCAAATCCTAATTATTAATTGCCTTTGTATAAAAATTAAGTTGATTTTTGTATGCTGACCTTGTGCTTGTGACCTCACTAAACTTATGTGTAAGCTCTAGTAGTTTGCATAGGTTGTTTGTGTTTTCCACATAGATAACTGTATCATCTGTAAATAGAAACAGTTCTTTATCTTCCTTTCCAGTCTGCATGCCTTTCACTCCTTTTTTCACTGTATTGGCTAAAATCCCTTATAGTCCCCTTATAGCCCCCTCCCCCAGCAATCCCCACACTGTTGTCCATGTTAGTGAGTCCTTGTTCCTTTTGGCTCAATCCCTCCCCCGACACTGTGGTAAGATTTTTAGCTTCTTTGTGCTGCCTCTTTATAGACACAAGCGTTCATTCCTTCTCATCTGTCTCTAACCCCTGACAACAACGAATCTGCTGTCTATAATTATGCTATTCCATGAATACTACATAAGTCAAATCATGCAACATGTATCCTTTTGAGACTGTTTTTTTCACTTGGCATAATCTCCTTGAGGTTCACCCAAGTCGCTGCATGTATCAATAGTCCCTTCCTTCACTGAGCGGGGAGTCCACAGGATGGATACGTATGGTTTGGTTAACCATTCACCCACCGAAGGACAACTAATACAACTTTGAGTTTGGGGCTATTATGAAAAAGCTACTTTGAACATTCATGTACAACTTCCTTTGTGAAAATAAGTCTTAATTTCTCAGCATCCAAGAGTGAAATCACTGGGTCATATGTTAGGTAAGTCTGTTTTTAGTTTAGTTTTGACAGGAAGTTCCAAATTATTTTCCAGAGTGGCTGTATCATTTTACATTCCTACCACCAACGTAAGAGTGATCCAATTTCTCCACGTCCTCAACCTCACTATAGCATTTGGTATTATAACTATTTTTCACCTTAACTCTAGGATAAGTTACATATGCAGTGATATCTCGTGGTTTTAATTTGCAAGCCTCTAATGGCTAATGATGTTGAATATCCTGTCATATGTTTATTTGCCATCTATATATTTTCTTCAAAAAATTTCTGTGCATGTCTTTTGTTCATTTTCTGATTGGAGAGTTTTGAACATTGAGTTTTGAAAGGTTTTCATATATACAAGATATAAGACCTTTGCCAGACATGCGACACGAAAACCCCTTTAACAGTCAGTGGCCAACCAGAAGTTTCATATTTTCATGAGGTCCAGTCTATCAATATTCCCTCCTATGGGTAGTGCTATCAGTGTCAAGTCTAAGGTCTCTTTGCCTACTCCTAGGTCCCAGATATTTTCTGTTTCTTTTCTGGAAATTTAACTAAGCCTCTATCTCAGTCACTTAAATTTTCTGCTCCTATGGCTAGTTAGGTCTTTACTATTAATAGTTCTTTACTATTATCTAAATTATTGAAATTAAGAACAAACTGACAGTAACCAGAGGGGATGTGGGTGGGGGTAGTGGAGGAAAAGGGGGAAGGTTTTTCAGGACCGTGTATGAAGGACACATGGACAAAACCAAGGGGGGGTAGGATCAAGGGTGGGAAGTGGGATGGCTGGGGTGGGGGGAGTGTAGAGGGGAAATAGAGACAAGTATACTTGAACAACAATAAAAGAGAGAAAAAAATAAAAAATAATTTATGTAGAGATTTTTTTTTAACTTTTTTGAATTGCACTTATGGCTTCCCATCCTAACAAAATTGCTACCCAAGAGTCTTCTGACATAGGAATAGGATTTCATTTTCTTAAAGATTAAAATAGATCTTTCTGAAAAGATAAAAAAAGTTATACATTAGGTGATTATTTTTTAATCTACATACTCAGCCCCTCTCTCGGTCTCTTGCAGATTATTAAATGAGGTAATGTCCTTGGAGGGCCAAATTGGAAATCTGGAGTCACACCAGGACCTTGACCCTGATCAGGGGGCAAACATCGAGGTGAGCTGGAGGCTTGGAAGAGACAGTCTGGGAGGTTGTGGGGACTCTGACACCCCTTGTGCTGTTTAACAGCTCATAACAAGGATTAAAACCAATTTCTGTCATAGGGAGGAAGGCAACCTGGTGGCCAGTTCTGAGCACCTTTTGCCTGCATGCCACCATTTCTGTTGTCCGGTGACATAAAAAGGCTAGACTTTTAAATTCTATGTAGAAAATCACTCAGACAAATTTGATAGGTTTATATCTTGACGCTGTCTTAGGATAATGATGAGTTACTTAAGGGAACACTCTTCATCTTTGTATCCCAGCACCTAATGGTACAGAGAAGGCTGTCAGGCAATAAATATTAGTGAAGAATGTAAGAGATACTTTTGTATCTATCTTTGCTTTTTTCATGAAGAGTTCTTGTGTTAGTTTTCACTATTGCCAAAGTTCTCTCTTATTTAGTCTTCTTACATCTCTTAGAAACTCTTTTCTGAGACAGGTTTAATTTTCCCTTCATTAAGAGTCATAAGATGTTAAAACGTAGTGATTGACTCTGGGAAAGAATTAGACGTTGGAGCCTTGATCGATACTTTTTCCTCTAAAAAAGGAAAAAGTCTGTATCTAGCTTCCACTTTTTAATTGAAATTTCCAGCCTCTGTTTTAGCTTAAGCCAAAGAATTTAAATTAAGTGGATTTTGAAAGAAGTAAAGGAGAAATATCTTTTTTGCTTATCATCCTTGCTCAGGCACCATGCTAATAATCTTCTCTGCATTGTTCCAATTTCAGTATAGGTGCTGCTGAAGCGAGCATAGAGAAATATCTTTTTATTGTAGAAAAGTAATGCTATTTAGATCCCTCACATATTAAAAGCCATCTACAGATCAGCACAGATTTATTAACAAGGAAAAAATTGCCTTTAACTGTGTCTTTTAAAAGTCACAGTTAAACATTTTAAAGTAGCAGCCTCACTTTGTACTAGTTGAAAAGTCAAGAGTTTTTTCCACTATCCTTTGCAAATTGCAAACCATGAAAATAAGGAAGAGGACAAAGGTCAAGAGATATTCTGCCTTAGAAAATTTCCTCTAAAAGTCATCTGTACTACAGGAATGAGGGTTTCAGCAGGAGTTAGGGCCAGAGAGGGATGGATATCAAAACAGAGAGGGCAAAGATAGAAAAGCACAAAAATAAATGAAAGTGAGATTAAAAAACAAACCCATAAGGTCTTGGGATAATATGAAAGGAAAAAACATCACAAATATGTATGGAGATTCTCTCTGGAGTTCCACAGTTGTGTATACACTTAAAAAAATAGACACAAACTTAAAAATTTAAAGCATCCCAAATATCCACCAACTGATATGTGGATAAATTGTAACACAGGTTGTATAATGGAATACTGTGCAGCAATAACAAGGAATGGCCTTCTTAATCATCCAACACCATGAATGAATCTCAAACACATTGTGCTAAGGGAAAGAAGCCAGCCTTAGAAGATTACACACTTCATGATTCCATTTATGTAACATTCTGAAAAAGGCAAACAATAGGAACAGAAAGTAGATTAGTGGTTTCAAGAGTCAAATGGGTAAAGGGAGGAGGAGGTTGACAGAGGGCACAGGAAATTTGAGCCATGATGGAGATATTCCCTACCTTGTTGTGGTGGTGATTATATGACAGTATACATTTGTCAAAATTCATAGATTTATATACTTTTTAAGGTAAGTTTTACTGTATATAAATTATAACCTCAATAAACATGGCTGTAAAAAAAATTGGCACAAGTTCTGTCCTCAATAGGTTTAGTGGCTGATGGAAAAGCCTGCATAAAAACACAGACAGTAATTTAATGAATAAGAAACTTAAATATAACTGTTACTGATACAAGGTCAATAATGGCTGTAGGTTTACTCTAGTGAAGGGAAAAGTAAACACTGTTAGAAACAGGTATGAGAACAGCAAATGAAGCTTAGGAAAATGAAAGGAGACATAAGTTAATGAAGTTTTAAGATATCACATGAATTGGCTCATTCCTTTCTCCTGAAGAAGTGGAATGACTCAGCAAGCCATAAATGGAGCAAGAGGGAAATTTAGTAAAAGCATTTGAACACACACACACACACACACACACACACACACACACACCAGAAATAAGTATAAAAGAGCTTTAAGCTAAGAAGAGTCCTTGGAGGTGGCTTCTGGGTACTGCCTGCTGTTGCGCCCCCAAGTCCACGAAGCTTTCTGAAATCTCCATATGGACAACTGGACTTCCATTCTGAGACTGACTCCCAATCTCGGTTACCTTTGATAAGTACTGTGTAAAAACAGTTTCTATATAAACAAACCAGGACACCAGTAAACTATGACAATCACATCACAGCTCTTTCTTAAATAATTAAATCTCGTAATTCAGAGGTTGGTAATGAATGAAGGGTATACACTATACTCTATAACTATTTGAGGGCAAATACTCTTATTACTGGTGTACAACCAGCACAATGCCTAGCTCAATGGCCTCTTATACACATATGGCCAATAATATCCTATTGATTTAATTTAACATTGATTTTTAGAGATTAGCACCCAGAAGAGTGAAAAAAAAAGAAGCTTCTATTAAATCTCAAACTTTTTGATCATGAATTAACTTTGTTCTAAAAATTGTCATTTGCTTTGTTTTAATTCCATACATTATTCTTTACAACTTTTGTTTTATACCCTTTGTTTTAAAGGAGAAGATCATGGAAATTAAAAAGCAATTAGGAGACATGGACAACAACTTTGTCCAGGTAATGATAAAATGGCTTTATAATTAAGGAAGAAAAACAGTACTTCAAGGAAATCTCAGATTTAGAGAATTTTAGTGAATGGAATCTAAAATTTGATGACAGATAGAATTTTAGACCTAAAAGGGAACTTGCTGTCTTTTAATCTATACTCTCATTGTCAGAAGAGAAAAGCATAACTTAGAAATGTGAAGTGAGTTGCCCAAATTTCCAGATGAAAAGAACCAGTCCTGTTCTTGCTCTCCCATTAAAAATATAAACACATGTATAGCCCTGGCTGGTGAGACTGAGTGGATTGACTGTTGGCCTGTGAACCAAAGGGTTGCCAGTTCAATTCCCAGTCAGGACACATGACTGGGTTGCAGGCCAGGTCCCCAGTGGAAAGCATGCGAGAGGCAACCACACATTGACGTTTCTCTCACTCTCTCCCTCTCTTCCCCCTCTCTAAAAATAAATAAATACAATCTTTTAAAAAATACATAAACACATGTCTGTATAATATATAAAATATTTAATATATATTTTAAACATGTAAATACATGTATATCTTTTTATTTTAATAAAAGTAATACATATATTTACCTTAAACTTTTTCACATTAAAAAATGAAAAATAATCCCAGTTACTCAAGGATAAACAGTGAACATTTTAATATATTCATATTCTTTAAAATCTTTCTATACATATATTTACATATTGTATTTTAATGGGATTATGTTACATGTATTATTTTGCAACTTGTCTTTTTTCTCTTAGCATTTTTTCTTTAAAAACATTCTGTGCAACTAGATGTTATTTTACCTTTTCACTGTATATAATGCAGGATTTGATTTTTAGACTTATTAAATTCATTTTGTTGGATATTTGGGGCTTTATAATTCATGTTTGTCATTGCTAACCATGCCTCAGAAACCCATACTTCACTGCCTTGGCAAATGCTTCTTTAAAAATCAATTTCAAGGAAAGGCACCTCTATCTAGAACCCCCCCTTTCCTGAACCCCAGAACACCGTTCTGCCCACTATAACTCTGTTTTCCAGTGATGCTGCCAACCTACTATGGGGTGATTCATTGAAAACCTTTAAAACTTTTTACTACCGACACACATGCAATTGGCATTCATGTCTTAGAAGGTGAAGGTTTGCGTTCATCCTGGTTCTTGATCTTCCTGGTAGAAACCAGCCAAAGCCATCTGTCATCTCTGCCTGTCAGCCTGTGGGAGAGTGGGAAGGAATGAGGAAGCACTGTGGGTGGAGGGCTCTTTGCTAAACCACGAGGCCCGAATATTCAGACTAACATAATAAGGACTTAGGTTTATGTATTGTAACTTTTAAAATCTTTTAAAAATCTTCTCTAATTAGTGACCTGGTAGATGGTTTTTAAGGAGCAAGGAAAGAGTAATAAAAAGAGAAAAAGATGATTTATAAGAAGTAGCTGTTGTATAAATTTATACTTTTAAAACATTGAAAAGAATTTCATTAATCTTTTGGTTATTCTTTTTGCAATTTATCATGATCACACTATGAGTTTGCTCTAAGAGCAAAGATTTCACTGAGTAAAAGCAAGTGTGATTAAAACCACTTTACAACTATCTGGTATCAAAATGAGTGAGATTTTATTGTATAAATTAGAGAAATAGAATTTCTATTTTACCCCAAATTGTGGGTATCTTTTCAGGCTGATGCTTGTAACGAAGCTCATGCATTAAAGGAGAAACTTGTTGCGAGAATAAAGGTAAGATTCACAGTTACACAAGCTCAAATAATGATAAAATTACATGATTTAAATATACACATAAACACAGAGGTAAATCCTTCCCAAGAAGTTAAGAATGTACGACATACTGATTTCTTTCCAACCTTATTGCTGTCTTCTGCCGCTCCTGGCCTTCTGCTCCGGGCCACAGAACATCTCACAGGTCTGGCGGACTCCCGAGCCCCCGCACCCCTGGGCTGCTCCCACATCTCCTCCGCCTGGAGCTGGTCCTTCACGTGTACATATTACCCACTCTTCAAGGCTCAGCTCAAATGCCATCTCTCCCAGACCTTCCCTAATCTCCCTTAGTTGGAAAAATGACTCAGTTTCTGTGAATGAATGGGGGAGTGAAACAGTGACTAAATGAATTAATCTGTCACCTGCTCAGAGGTGCCTAATCATCTCCCTTTCTAGAGTAGATGTCCATCACCAAACCTCAGCTACTCTACCTCATCACCTTGTTTATTTTCTCTTTAGCATGTAGCATTTTTTAAAAAAACATTTTTATTGATTGATTTTTAGAAAAAGAGAGCAAGGAGGGAGACGGGGGAGAGAGACAAAAAAAGAGAGGGAAATTTTGATTCGTTGTTCCACTTATTCATGCATTCATTGGTTGATTCTCGGATGTGTCCTGACCAGGGGCTGAATCCACAACCTTGGCATATGGAGATGTCCCTCTAATCAACTGACCTACATATTCAGGCCTAGCATGTATCTTAATTCATAGTATCTAATGTATATATGTGTTTAGGTGTTGTAAACACACATGTAATTTCTCTTCCAGTTCCTTAAGAAATGCACATGCAATAGAGTACATATTCCTTGTTTATTCTGTTGGCTACTAGATCCTAGAACAGGGCCTGATGGGAGTTGCTCAACAAATATGTTCTACGTAGATGAACCAATTTAACAGATAAATTCAGTATGAGGAAAATTATCTTCCTACATGAACAATCCAGCAAAGGTTAGCATGTGGGTTTTGTTTAATGTTATACCATGATGCTAACTTACTCTGTCATTGTGTCTCTTCCTATTAATAATAGATGAGTATGTTCTTTTTTCCAGAACTTTTGCAAGGACATGACTGTGCTGAATACAAAGCTGGGGACGTACCAAATGCAAGAAGGGAACACAGACTCTCTGAGTCCTGAAGAAATGTGTCTGGAAGGTATGGGGCCCCTGCCTCTCCAGGCTTCCCCACCCACTTCAGTGCAGAACTCTCCTCCTCGCATTACAATGTGGTAAGTCAGAGAAAGAAGCTTTTGGGGTCTGGACAGAGGTTCTAATATGTATGAACTATAGTAAGATTAAATTTCTTCGTGTTAACTAAACCTTTGTTTCATCTTCTTTTATAATTTTTTTGTGTTCTTTAAAAGTCATAGTATTCTTCTTATTTTAGATATAGATCCATTGCATTAGATGTACAGATATAGACATGTATTTCTTTCTTATTGCTGTAGATCATTATATATACATAAATCTTGCAGGACAGAGTCTGCAAACTGTGATGCAGCCACCTCCACAAAGACACACACCTGCTAAGCAGCTTTGAAAAACCTTTGTTGGCTGAGCAAGATGCCTCTCCCTTGTACAGTACTGCAGACATACACACTAGCAAATTCTGACTCTCTGAATTCCTTTCTGGAGATGCCACACAATCATGTATATCTGAGTCCATTCAGATTCATTAGCCTCACCCACCAACCCAGAGGGAATCTCCAGCTCCCTCCTCTGTGTGCTCACTATACCTTGAGTATAACCCTGACACAGCCCACAGCACATGATTGCAATTCAATTGTTTTAAATCTGTCTCCTGATACTTCATGGGCCACTTGAAGGCAGAAATCTTGATCATATGGGGACTTGAAATATAAAAGGGGTTCATCATGTTCAATAAAAATTAATAAGTGAGGAGTGATGTCAATGAAAATGCTGGAGTAAAAACCCCAGAAAATTTTCTATTCCATAAAGTCAATGAGAGAGCTGGAAAAAAATGGTCAGAATCAACTTTTTCAGAACCCTATAAATTAAGGATTCCAGTATCCAGAATATATAAAGAACTACTACAACTTAATAACAAAAAAGACAACCTAATTTTTTTAATGAACAAAGGAGTTGAATAGATTGTTGTTTTCTCAAAGAAGATATACAAATGGTCAGCACATAAAAAGATGTTCAACATCATTGGCCATTAGGGGAACGCAAATCAAAATCACAAGATACCACTTTACACCACTAAGATAACTATAAAAAGACAAACAATAACAAGCATGTGGAGAATTTAAAACCCTCAGATATGACTAGTGGGACTGTAAAATGGTGCAGCCACTTTGGAAACAGCTTGGCAGTTCCCAAAAACATTAAATATAGAGCTACCACGTGACCTACTCCTAGAGACACACCCAAAATTAAAAATATACGCCCACAAAACACCTGTATAATGAATGTTCACAGCATCATTATTCATAGTAGTTAACAAGTAGAAACAATATAAATGTCCATCAATTGATGAATAGGTAAACAAAATGTGGTATGTCAGTACAACGGAGTATTTTCAGCCACAAAACAGAATAAACTACTGATATATGCTATAACACAGATCACTGCTGAAAACATGCTAAGTGAAAGAAGTCAGACACAAAAGGCCACACACAATGTGATTCCATTCACATAAAATGTTCAAAACAGGAAAATCCACATAGAAAAGAGATGAGTGGTTGGCAGGCCTGGGGGTGATGGGAAACAGGGAGGACTCTTTGTGGGTGCAGGTTTTCTTTCTGGGGTGATGAAAACTTCCTGCATTTAGATAGTGGTGGTGATTGGACAAGCTGATGGACTAACTAGAAGCCACTGAGTCATATACTTAATAACATCTGAGTTACACTTCAAAAACAAATAGATAAGGAAGTGAATACCTCTCAATGATCACTTAATTGTGTTTTATGGGCAGATTATTACCCAGCTGCCCTGGTCATTGTTCATCACATCATTACATTGTAGCTAAGATTTCCCAAGATTTAGACCAATCTCTTGCAGAGAACTAGAACCCTACTAGTTCCACTGAGTATATTTATATGTTATCTTTTTGAGGAGGTGTATTTTGCAGGCTTGGTCAATGATGATGTATCAGTTTTGCTGTTTTTAGCTTCAGAGAGTGGCTTCTTCCTGATATTGTTTTATCCTCAAACCCTCAGCTCCCTTATAGTTCTCCCCTGTGTATTCACCACAGTAACACGAATGTTTTGGACAAGGTTAAAGATTTTATGCATGTCAAGGCTTGACAAGTAGTTGGATAGATATATGTAGTATTCAAATGTCAAAAGAATATTTTTATTCTCTATAGAAGATAAATTTGAAATAAATAAAATTATTGATGAGACTAAGTTTTGGTTCTGTACATGTAATATTATAAAAAAACTTATCTTTATTTAGCAGGTATGATGTTTTGCTAAGAAAAATGCTTGAGTCCTGACAGGTATTGGCTTGGTTGGTTGGATGTCATCCCACAAAGAAAACGAATGCTGGTTTGATTTCTGGTCAGGGCACATACCTAGGTTGTGAGTTCAGTCCCTGGTCAGGGAGGCCTAGAGAGTTTACTGTAGCAAAGAAAAAAACTGAAAGATACACTCTAACAACAACAACAAAAACAACTAAGCAAAATTAAAAAAAAGAGAAGAATGAATGAATAAAAGGAAGAAAGGAAGGAAAAGAAAAAGGAAAAAAACTTATAGGAGTGATGGGATTATAGTTTACTAGTTTTCTAAATTATCAGTAATTTAGAAAAAATATTTTCCTCTTAAAAATGAATGTTACATGGGTTTCTTTATAAACATTCCAGTTTTAGTATTTCTAAAATGACTAGTTTTAGGATTTAAGAATAAAATGTTTATTTTCTAGATATGCTTTGGTAGTGCACTGTTTCTGTTTTTAAGAGAAAGAACAGACCTACATTCAGTGCTGCTGGAGACCAGCACTTCTCTGCTTCATGTCAAGGGCCCTCACAGCCTCTTCCTCACAGAGTATTTTAAGAACATTGGCTCTTTAATAAATGTGTGAAGTAGAAGCAATTATTTGTATACCTTCCAAGAGATGGCCAGTGGCAATAATGCCAAAAAACAGGGCTGAGGTTTTATAGAACCCACTGAGTTGGGGCACAAACTATATCCATTCTTAGCTTGAACTGCACTCTAGGTTTTCTCTTCTGAAATGTGTTCTAGATGGTAAGTATCTCCAGGTAACTGGATCATCTGTGACACTCCTTTTCTTCCTGGTGTTTTTCTGGATTTTCCAGATCTTCTACTCTCATCATGTATTGCATTTATAATTAGAAAATAATAATGCGAAGACTTAAAAGCAAATAAGTAAAATACATCATAGGCACAGCCCAGAAGGAGGAGTCCTCAAAGACTGGGAAAAACTTACATTGCTTAAGAAGGGCAAGTCTGACGTCAGGACAAAATGGGGGACAGGGAGGGTGGAACTTCACTTGTCACAACTGATTTTGTAGCCCGAGGATAATCTAACTGCCCCGTGTCTTTATTTTCTGCCCAATAGGCATCAGATACTTCATAGGCGAGGCAGAGATGGCTCTCATCTGTGAGAAGAGCATTTCAGAGGAAAGAGCCTCACAGTATTGAGGGTTTCATTGTTTCATGTCTATAGAATCTTAAAAATCCAATGCCCATCCTAAGAAGAGTGTCAGTGTCCATCAACGCCAAGTTCCTTTAGCAGATGTCAGCTGAGGTCAAGAGAAGTTCAGTTACTTAACTTGAAAAGCTACCTGGGCAGAGAAGCCTGGAATCACTTCTGTGCATGCGCGCACGTGCGCGTGTGTGTGTTTTCAGAATGTTCTTAACACAGATGTTTTCCTTCCTTGTAGGAAGCGTGCACTGAGGATTTTCGTCATGTTTTATGTCCTCACCTTCACGGGACTTTCATGTTACATACTGTTGTTTGATGCCACATTTATCTTTGAAAGGGTGCTCCCCACAATGCTTGGGCGCCGCAAAATGTGGGAACTGCGGGAGATTATCACACCTTTCCTAAATTTGGAAGTGGAAGACTTGTTACCCTCCTAAAGATGCTGCAGTTGCTGTTACCCTATGGAATTTCTCCCTAATAAAATTCTGGCTGTTCTTGTGTTATGATGGTTAACTTTTTTACAAATAAAATGCTATAGGGTGTTTGGCAAAGGACATTGTAGTCATGTGGAAATTGGTTGATTGCCGACAGAAAAAAAGGAAAACAGCTTATGTGGACCCTTAAATGCACGATGACTTCTTGAATCATTCCACACACTGATTCCAACATTTACTTCAAACTACTAGCCTCTCTTCTCCCCCAGCCCCGAGCTCACGGAGACTATCGTGTATGAGCGTCCTTGGTTATTACACCCATTTGACCTCTGATGTCTCAGAAAAGAAGGCCCAGAATTCCTCTCCATTGCTCCCAATTTTACTTAAATTGGATTGGGGCCATATTTTGGGCATAGTGAACATTTCTTAGTTTTTCTCCCTAATATTCACTTATGTTTTTGGTAATGGCACATTAATTTTGCTTTGAAATAACTATCTTTCCACCTTTAGCATAATTATAGGTGGTTTTCAGTCAATATCCCCTCTTACCCTATTAATAAGAGTTGGAAATATGTTGAATCAGACGATCTCTAAGAATGAGCATTTTGAGAATCATACAAAAAAAGGGAAATGACTGGAACTTCAATTTTGAAAACTAGCCTGTTTCTTTTTCAGCTCACATTAGCCAGAGTCGGTTCTGCTGCTCGTAATCAAAGGGAGTCTAATCGATGCAGTGGTTTTGAATGCTAGACTGGAGCATTTTCATCCCTAACTTTGTAGGTAATGAGGAAATAGTAAACTTTATTTTTGATATGAAAAATAATTATACTTGAATCGTGCAAGATTAATAGAACCATTAAGAAGAATAAACTGTGGTAAGAGGGCAGATGGAGTGTGAAAGGTGGGAATGGGGATGAAAAGGTGGTGATGGGTGAAGTAGATATTCTAAGGGTAGATTTTGCATGTGGTTGTGTCCTGGATGTGGGGTGGGAAGAGCGGTGGCAGAGACTGTGGAGCACAGTTCCAGTTCCCGACATTTGAATGGGTCTTGAAGAATGGATAACATGTTCATGGCAGAGAGGAAGAAAAGGCATTTCAGAAGAAAGACACATCACAAATTAAACAGAAGCCATGAATATAAGGCAGTCAAGAAAATTGGCACAGCA